TGCAGCCAATCATGGGGTGACACGTCCGAGGCGGTGGTTGCCAGCCTTTATTAGGGGACGGGATTCTTGGCTTGGGGTCTCCGCTCTGGTAAGCTTATGCTCTCCTCTCTCAAGATGCATTAAAGCTTTCCTGCAGAAGGATCCGAGTGTCCCGCGTATGATTTCTTGCTGGCGAGAAATACAGAGCGCGCGCGGGACATGACCCTAAATCTGTTATTTAAAAAAGCAAAGTTTAGGGCTGGAGAGATGGCTCAGGGGTTGAAAGCACTGGCTGCTCTTCCAGAGGTCCTGAGTTCAATACCCAGCAACCACATGGTGGTTTACAACCATGTATAATGAGATCTGGTGCCCTCTTCTGGTGTTCAGGAATGCATGCAGGCAAAAACTGTATACATAATAAACAAATAAATCTTTAAAAAAAAAACAGCAAAGTTTAATTTAAAAAAAAAAGACAATGTAGAATAAAGTCTTACAGACAAATAAGACATGAATTTGTGATGGGAACCTGAAGGGGAGCACAGAGGAACTGTGGGGTCGGGGAAGGGTAGATACGATAAACATGAATGTGCTCATGTACTAAATCCTCAAAAAAATTAGAGAAAGCTAAATAGAAAAAATACACACATGAATTCAAAAAGTGTCTATGAATTTATCTTCTATTCACCTCTTCTTGAGGCAGTTAAACTGCAAGAAGAACAAAGACTTGGATGTACAACTCATCCACTTCCTGACCTCAAGAGACATATAGGGCCGAGACTATGCAGTCACTCATCAAGCAAACTTTATTCAGCACCAACTCTGTGACAGGGCCTTCTCAGCACTGGAGACACAGCAAGGAACAAAAGCAAAAGAAAGCACCACCTTGGAGAAAGACAAAAAAGAAAATGGGCCAACCCGGGTCCATTAGCTTCTTTGCTTTTCTAGTGGCACTTTAAGGCTTGTCAGAGAGACTGTATTTACTGCAAGGGCTCTAAGGTTAGTCAGAGAGACTGTATTTACTGCAAGGGCTCTAAGGCTAGTCAGAGAGACTGTATTTACTGCAAGGGTTCTGTCTTCACTGTACTAGATGTGCCGTCCCTGCCTTCAGTGAAGATCTGAGTTCGTCTTGGCAAATATGGAAATAATCATTAGAAGTCTGAAATTACAAAACAGTGTGTCAAAAATTACTGAAAGTCATGCCTCTGGGAGCTAAAAAAAAAGGCCTAAAATATCATTTTTCTGACCAAGGACAGACAAAATGACTTCATCCTGTTTAGTCAACTGAACAGCTACCACCAAGCAGGCTGGGGACAGCAGCCTCATGGCTGTTTATTGTGATGCTGCCTGCCCGATGAGGTGAATCTCGGGTGAAGCTAGGTTTGACAATGACTGTGGTTCACAAGAGGAAGACCTGGTGTGTGGGGAAGTTCCCCTGCCTCCCAAGACACGAGTGTGCATGGGAAGTTACTTTGCTCCAGAAAGTCATGGGGAACCACTTGTGATCAAATGAAGGAATGAAACTAAGGGCAAGGAGGAAGCAGGCCAAAGTTGAGCATGTCAGCAAGGCACAACTCAGTTTTCACCAGCCATAAAAACTCACGGGATTGATTCCTCTTCATAGCTGGTAGCCAGAGCCAGTGAGTGATC